CTAAAAAGTGGCTTTTCATATCTTAGATACATATAAAAAAAATACACATTATCCTTGAAATCTATTTCATTTTCCTGAGAAAAATATGACCTTGATACTACAAAGGGAATTACAATCAAAGATATACGCTTTATCATACTTACTGTTTTGTTAGTAAATCAGAGTTTCTGCATGTGGAAACTGCTATGTGGAAAGTAATAGTTTTATAAAGACCTTTATGTCTTTACATTCACTGATATGTTCAGCGATGAGTAGAGCTCCCAGCAATTTTCAACTTGAACAAATTTGGCAGACTTCCTCACAGTGAACTTAGTGTTATTATCAGCCCCAAAATATATTCTCATTATCTCCATCATTGAATAGAATAAATTACTGTAAGAGATGGTTAATGTCAGTAACTCTATCCACTGTTGGAAGAGACAATATTCTAAAACATTTCTAGAGTGAGAAACGATTTCACAATATCAAGTATAACACTATTTTTTTAAAAATATTCTGAACAAGCCATGTTAAAAATACAAAAGATCCCTGGTGACCTATAATCAATAGCCTTGAATAAATTTTATGAGTAATAAAATTTAGCAGAAATAAACAAGTAACAGGTTTCAGGGGGACTGTGTCATTGGAGGTAGGAGGACAATATAGCAGTACCAGGCAAATACAAAGAAAACAAGCATAATATTTGAATTACATTTTTATTTTTTTTAAATTACATCTACTGAAGCATTTGGAATATTTTACATTTTTTATTATATAATTATAATCCTTTATTAGAGTAATGCTTTATTATCATTGAACAATTTCAATCAGATAAATAAAATGAAAAATTTATGCAGTTCTATAAGGCTTCTGCTTATATTGAGTCCCAGTAGTGTAATGGGTAAGGCATTTGATTGCAAAACAGAAAGTTGGCAGTTCAAACACACCAGCTGCTCCATAGGAGGACAATGAGGCAATCTACTTCCATAAATATTTATAGCCTTGGAAACCCACTGGGGGTCACTGAGAGTTGGAATAGACTTGATGACAATGAGTTTGGTTGGTTTGCTGCTTATATTATAGATGTTACCTTTGTAAGTTTTTATTTCTTCAGATACACCCACTATAATATAGGTATTATACATAAATTCATACATATTTGCAAATACTTCCTTTAATTGGATGCAAAAAATGTTTATTTTTATTTAAATATATCTTAATTGATTATATAATATAAATTTAGTTCTTTCTAATTTAACTCTTAATAAAATTGTTCATCTGATTATTTTCATTTAACCATTGTCTGAATTATATTTACAAAGATTTTCATTTTTCATAGCTTTCAACCATTCTATAAATAAAATCTTTATACTAAATTTTTT